ATTCTGTGATTATCACAGGGACAGGTAAGAAATGCAGTGGTGTTCTTGCAATGTAAACATATGCCTAAAAACCGAGGGAAGCACATTCTCTCTAATAGTTGTTCAGTGACAAAGAATGAGCTCCAGGACTCTGCAGGTTATACCAGAATTATATGAAATACTTTTTCTGATGGCTGCCAAAAATAATATTAATAAGTAAGCAAAAAACCCAGTAAGGTACTGCACAGAAATGCTTGTGTCCTTGATTTTCTATATTCTAAAACTGCATCCCATTGTAGCCATTTGAGTAAACCTGTTCAGGTTTTAGTGATTTGTAATTACCAGCTTTAGAGGCTGTGTGTAAGGGATATTTCACATCAATTTTAAGCAAGTGATGAATTTCAAAGGTGTTACAAACTCTAACGAAACCTCAGAAAACTGCTGAGATGCAGGATTTCTATACACATGTCCTAAAGCACTACAGCAGTCCAGAAAGGAAAACTTGCTCATTGTTAATGTATAATTTCATATTAAATGCTAAAATAAACCTGAGGTTCCAACAGTGAATTTAATCTGAGCCCTAACTTGTATTTATAACTGCATTCAAAAGCTTTTCCATAGATCTCACTGACAAAAATACGTCAACGTGAAATGAGTTATTTATTCCAGATAACCAGTCACTGATTTGTGAAGCAGTCTCAGACATTTCGAGTGGTTAAGAAGATTATTGTCAAGATGATAATAGACATTTTGGCTTAATGAAGGGGTGTGTACTTGGAGGGGAACAAAATAAACCTAAGTCTAGTTTAACAGCCCCGCTGCTGTTGCCATTTCCAAAAGAACCAAGGTAAATAAAGCAGTTTCTAAAATATTTCAGAAACAGTTTCCTGGAGTGGGTCTTATATTTGCAAAAGCACAGATAAATATTATTATTATTTGTTTATATGTGAACAGGATGTATTAAAATACTTCTAGATTATGTAAAATAAATGAAGGCCAAAAGTGTCACCAAGACAGTATTTTCCCTTCTGAATTTTACTGTCGTGCTCAGGGCAGCAGTCATAATTTTGATCAGTGCTACTTCTAAATGATAAATATTTCCTAGCTTGATATTTGTGGTTCTCTTCCCAGTAAAAAAATGTAGATGTCAACAGCACTGTACACTTCTATCTGATAGAGCACACAGATCCACAGAACCTAGGGCTTAACATTCTTGTTTTTAAGAGTTTGACCTTTTCAGAAAGACAAATTTTACAACTGACTCATTTTTTTCCTCAAGTTAATACTTATGATATTTCTCATCAATAATCTTACGAAAACCCCAAATAACTTAAAGTTTCTCTCTCAGAGGAGTAGAGCCATGTTTAATAAGTGTCTACCTCGATGATCTTGTTCCAGATGGGCCGATGAGTGGTGGCATCCCAGAGGGTGATGTGTTTGTCGTGTCCGCAGGTGAAGAACTGAGGCTTCGAGGAATGGACCGCAAGTCCCCAAAGCTCA